ATTCAATCAAAAAAAAATCTTCAATTTACAACGTACAGAAAAATTAAATAAAAACTAAGGTTTAATTCTTTCCTGAGTAACAATTCGTGCCTTCTACTCATACATATTTCTCCAACAAATTTACCTTTGTCATTTTCTTAAATATACACATTGATCTGGCTTTTTAACGTTATCCTCCAGATTATTCTATAATTTAATTCCCTGGACTGAGGTACTCCGTTCCTTCAAACTGGTTCTAATTTTAGGTTTGACAAACATTTCTATCCTCTTCAAATTGTAACAACTCACTCTTTTAACAAAATGTAATTGGMTGTTTTTGAAGGTAATGTATTTTTATGAGCCCAATACATAACTGACAAAATACTATTATCAACCAAATTAGAGAATTTTAATAACTTCAACTGATGGAACAATGCATTTGATGGGTGACTAATATTTTCTGGTAATAATTGTTATAGCTCTTTTCTGCCAAATAAAAACAGGATTTGTTATTGTTTTACATGCTTTTTCCCCCAAAACACCAATGCAGTAAATTAAGTGTGGAACAATTATTGCATTATACGATTCTTATGTCAGGCTTGTTGAAAAAAAAAATGGAAACACATTGATTCGAAACAAGTCATATTAAGCTTGACAACATTTTGGGTCAGTTAAAAACAGTTTAAAATGTGTTCAAACAACCTAGACTGATGCTGTACTATAACCAAAATGTTAATCCAACTCATTATGATGAAACTGAAAAGCTTTCAGAAGGAAACCCGTACAGCTGTCATAAACACAAACAGTGTTTATTTATGTAGCACCAGCACATATCAATGATAAAATATACCTGAAATTAAAATATTACATTTTCATTCAACATACTAAAAATGTGCCTCAGATGAGAAAAAATACACAACAAACCCCAAACTAAATCACCTCAACTAAAAAAAAAGTATCACAAAGCAAGACTACAGCATTAGATCAAACTGTGCATGTTGACTGTCAGAATACTGACTCACATCTATCTGGGAGGCAATCATCATGGTAACAGCATGGCTAACCTACTCATAATGAAGGGGGATCAGATCAATACATGTACATATAGTGGAATATATATATA